CATGTTTACAGTAAAAGTGGCAAAATAATTATTGATAATTGTGCACTCAGACAAACAATTAATACAGTGCTCATGCCTCTTAATGAATAGATGGAGCAGTTACTGAACATTATCATTACATCCTGTTTGGATGCATATTTTTTTCACCCTTTTGACATGTAAGTCATTGGCAGTTAAAGCATGTTTTTGGTGTCCTTACACCTCGGAACAATTTTCTACCCAGTATTTCCATTGTGGTGTGTCCTGCATAACAAGCACGGTTTAACCAAGCGGAAAAAAGGAAACTCCATCGGGAAGAATGTGTGATTTATAACTCACGTTTATGTTGCTACTCGAGGTATCAACGTGGCACAACAGCGGCCAAGATTTCGCGTCCTCCCTGAGAGCGAAATCTCCGCTTTCATAAGCATATATCGGTGCGAAGGTAAATGCTCCGTGCACCGACAAGAACAGGAATGCCAATTGAGCATCATAAGGTGATCCTTCACTCAGGGGTGTGAATTGAAATGGGCGCCTAAAAATAGTGTAAGTCAGTCATACAAGTCCATAACTATCCTTCATATATCTGAACTGGATATCTTTGCAGGTTATTATTATGAGATACGTGGATTGTTAAGGGAATGTTCAAAGACGCATGTCCAATATGACGGAAACCCTGATGCCGTTTGACCCCTACGATCTGTTTTCTTTGTAAATCCGTGTTTACAGCGTAACCCTAGGTTGGTACTTCTGCCATGCCATTAAATTGCCAACTACGCGGTTACGAATGTCATCCTAGTTTATTGCATTTGTCTGGAGATCATCGCACGTTTAATGCTAAAGAACCCAGAAAGAAGTTCGTCACTCTACGAAAAACGGGAAGTGAAAATGGGAATATAGTTCTGAATTTTCCCGAATTTTGGTTGCGAAGGACGATACAAGGGATCGAACTCTATTTTCATAACACAGATATTTGAATTTCGATTTGATTCTAGATTTTTCCTATCCCATATAGAAAAGGGGTTTCGCGCTTCCTCATCACTGTTATAACTGAGTACGCCCACCTCAATAGAGTGTCCCCCCTGCGGGGATATTCTTTCAGTGCAGGTGATAACAACAACAAGGAATGAATAAAACTATCATTATTTAGCTGTTCCCGGCAGCTGGTAGGGAGAAACCTTCCGCTAAATGTATTACAATGTAACAGCTGTGAAGGATAATACGCGGCCAACGATGGATTTATCTGTTCGACCGGTTCCCCTAGTCTTGTTTCTCCTTCTTGAAATCGATCACTAGAGTTAGGCGATTGTTCTCGTCTTTCCTGTCAAAGAAAAATATACATTTCGATTTCTCGAACATGTCCCTTAAGAAATGGAATAATTTATTTACCTTCACTGGCCTCCCCTATTGTTACTTGGAAAGGAATCCCCAAGTTTGAGGAATGATGAGGCGTCGGACTCCAGACAGTCCTCTCTCGTCACCAGGTTTTTTTCCGGTTGAACAAGGCGGTGGTTGTAGCTTGTTTTGATAGCCTTCAAGTAGGATGTTTTCTCAGTTCTCAACTCCCTGCGATGACAACAGCACAACAAGAGAAATTCAATTACACAATATTTTCGTTTCCGGGGAGACAAGACATAAGCCCCAGTCTGACAGTATTATCACATTGGGGCTATAATCAAACCACGTTATCATGGCCACTGCAGGTCCACAAAAAAGGAAACTTGGATCTAGGGAACGTTATTTTCCCGATTAAATATGCGGAATGCTCTCCAATGTTACATAGGACTCCTACCTCCTTGTTGGGGTTTGGTGCTTGGGGAAGTCCTCACTGCCTGTCGTGAATTTCATCGTTACGCGCAGTGGCAAACTGAGCCACTGCACACAACTTTGCTGCTTTTAATCGTGTTTCTAATTTCTCCCGATTCAAACCTATGATCAAAAGATAAGAATCAATTTGGTTACTCGGATCTTATGTAATACGACCAAAAGTGTTAAATATCTAGCCACATAGTCAAACCAATAGATCTTTGATGTTTGTGTCCAACTATTCTTCATGACGTGTGAAAAGGAGGTGGAGACAGCCGAGAGAGTCATCAATTTTTAAAGGCATTTGAAGGTCAGGTAGGTAAGGTCACCATCCACACCTGTTTCTAGTAAAGTAATGGCATCTCCGAAAAAGGGAAAGGGTGAATTGAGAAATAGCCTTTGTGATCGCATGAGTTAAACCGTATGAATCAGATTCAGACAAGCTTAATACATGAAATGACCGGCGATAGGTATCTGCTGCGCTTACTATGCGTATGCAATGGCGCCAGCTACTTTCATGGGAAACAAAAGACATAGTTCAGGGATCTGGTCTGAAAGAGAGAAAAGGAAACTGAGAAAGCACCTTAAAGGGGACCGCACTACCCTTAAAAACTTTAAACCATTTAATGTAATCCTCATGTTTACCATTAAAAGTTTCCTCGTGATTGGTCGCACTCTTGAGGCGTTTTAGAGCTGTTTGTGTAAAGAGAAAGGAGACTGTTATTCCAGTTTAGGATGTGAAAGACTCATGATCACTCGATTTCTCGAACATGTCTTTTAAGAAATGGAATAGTTTATCTACCTTCACTGGCGCCGACATTGTAGCTTTCAAAACATCGTCTGTAAAGGAATCCTCAAATTTGACGAAGGATGCGCCCTCGGACTCCAGACAGTCCTCTCTTGTCACCAAGTTCTTTGCAGGGTCAATGAGGCGGTAGTTATAGCTGATTTTAATATTCTTTAAGTACGATGTTTTTTCGGTTCTCAAGTCCCTGCGATGACAATAGCACAACAAGAGAAATTCAATTACACAATATTTTCGTTTCCGGGGAGAAATGACATAAGCCCCAGTCTCACAGTCTTATCACATTGGGGCTATAATCAAACCACGTTATCATGAACACTGCGGGTCCACAGAAAGTGTCAGTATTAACGAGGCGTCCACATTAAACCGAGGTTGAATTGAGAAAAAAGGAACGAGTGTCTGTAAACTGGGGTTTGATTTTATCTTCAAATCTATTTTCTATTTCTATTTCATTCTGCATTAACCCCTCTTTTTACCAGTAAGCTCAGTAATTTATGTTTGCCGACTTTGCATTTTAAATAATCTTGAAAATGACGAGATGAAACTATAAGTTTACGAAGGCTGAGCTAGGAACTGTCGAAAAGGTTTAGTGATCACTCTAAAGCCCCTGCGCTTCTGAATAGCACCCCAAGAAAATTACAGTTATACTTTCCATGTTCGATTACGAGCTTGTGGGAGCTGCTTGGTGTTACGTGTTGATTGATTTGATTGATTAGGTCTTCTATGAGGTGCCAGAGGATAGATGACCTGAGCACTTTTTTCTCAGTCGCTTCACATTAGGCTCTTTCCACAAGCCGTAGAGGTCTCACTTGCACCAAGACAAGGACGAAAGTGGAAAAAAATGCACCACCATCTTGACCAATCAGCGAGCACGACTCAAGTCACTTTAATGAATCGTGTACTTGCCCTTCTTCATACTAAACTGGCACGTATAAGCGATTTAAGTATACCCCGTATACATGCTTTTACCTATAGATGAAGTCACTGGAATCTAGGTGCCTCTCCATAACTTCTTTGATATATACGGCCCATGTGCCCCCCTTTTCGCTCCACCCTTGGAGGCGACACAGGGTGGAGATTGCTTCCTGCGGGAAGACCCCATTGTTTTCCATCATTTGATTTATTATAAACGTAGTGGCAAATCCCTGAAAAGAATAAAGGAAGATCATAACCAGTTTTTAAGAGGCAAGTTTCCTTTTCCAGATAGTCCTCGGCGAGCACGTTTTTCGTCCATCAAAACATACCAGAGGCTCCTCTTCCACTAAAACTATTTTCCCTCGAATTGGTCCCGCATGCAGTTATGACTCCACGTTTTAGTAAAGAAAATGAGCTTACCGACCTGTTACAGTGGTGGGTTATCCTCCTCGGGTCGAACCCGGCTTTCACCACAACCCTCTTAAAAAGACTGGTTAAATCATTGAGGGGTTTAACGTTCTGAAAGAAGAAAAAACACCGGGATAAGATTGCATTGTCTTAAGCGTTAGCGATAAATGGAAATTAAACTGAACAGCATCTGGGAATGAAAATTTGCCAGGATTTGTTATCATAAAATGTGAAGTTTTCGTTGCTTAAAGTTTTTTTAGAAAACTTAGACGATAAACCAAAGTATACAAATGACATCCATATGGCATCCTTGATAGGGATATAAATACTCTCATGTCACCGGAATTCATGTTTACAATAGAAGTGGCAAAAGAATTATTGATAATTGTGCACTCAGACAAACAACTAATGCAATTATGCTCCTGCCTTGTAATGAATGGACGGAGCAGTTACTGAACATTATCATTTCATCCTGTTCAAAATCTGAGGTTGGAATGGCCAAAAACTCCGGTTTTGTGTGAACGGTAGTCTGAAACGGAGGACAAAACGTGGTCTTCAGAAACATCCGGATACGAGTGGTTGGGGCCTGAATCGGAAAGCCGGGAGAGAAATTATTGCTCCTTCGGTACCGAGCTTCCCCTATTTCTCTTCCAATGACTTCTGTCGGCCTTTGTCGCCGAGTGATGGCCGCTTTTCACCATGTGTTTGTTTACACGTGTGCTCTTGGCGGGGAGCATACGGAGCACCCTAGTGGCCTTGAGTGGACCATCATGTGACGGTAAAGATGGTCCCAGGCCAAAACGGATGCCCCCCATACCTCTTTAGGGCAGATCCACTTCTTTTCAACTGGTCTGTCTGCGTAGCGCCCCCATCCAGGTTGCCTGTTGTCCTGCTGATGGCGTTTCATCTCCTCTCCATCGCCGATGGAGAACGGGCAGCCACTGTAGGGACAAACTACAGGTTCCATGAGGGGCTGCCCGTAATCCACCGAGGAAAACCTCCTCAGAACTAGATCATTGTCGCTTGTGCGCAGATTTCTTTCCAGGTGTTTTTGGACATTTAAGGGCTCTTGAAATGCCTGCAATAGGTTAAATAATGGGGAATTTAAGATGTCACGATATAATAATAATTAACAGTTTATTAGGCACAAAATAGCATTCAAATATATGATGTAATGCGCACCAACTAAAAAAATAAAAATAAATAAATAAAATAAATAAAAAAATAAAATTAAAATATTATATAAAATTATACCAGTGAAATGTCCTAAAAAAATTAGTATAAATATCTCTATATATACTATTAAAAAGGCAATTATAAGATTCGAGTAAAAAATGTATTGAAACTAAGTAATTGAAATCATCTTAAAAACGTTAATCAACAAGTCATTCATGAATCGATGGCGAAAGAACGTGAAATAACAACTCGGTACGGAAACACCCTATTTTGGTATATTCCTTTGTCGTAACCGCGTATCTTCGACGTGGACGTAAGCAAGCGCGGACGATAATAACGACGAAGAAGTAAAAATCGTGAATGACTCCTTTAAAAAAATCTTAGTCCTTGAAAACCGAAATTTGCCCTTGAAAAGTCCTTGTAGTTTGTTTGTCTGAAGTTGTACACACCATGATTCGAAGAATTATTTAATACGATTACTTAATTATGATTGAACTCAGTATTCTACGCATGATACTATTTGTAAAAAATACTCACTTGGAATGTACAATGCCTCTCCCGAGCTACAGGGTATTGTCGCGCGGACAAGGCTTGAAAAAATGCGCAAACCAAATCAACCTTCCCTACCTTGTGTAGAAGTGAAATGAACAGTCCCTTCTTGTGTTCGCTAAAAGGTTTGAATGGTACAAATTTAGAAAAGTATTACAATACAAAGTCATAGTAGAATAATAAAGGTAGCCTGCTTGTACAAATTTTTAATGAGTTTAAAAACTGACCTAAAAAATGGCTTATGCAAAACATTGAAAACAACTTTTATCTGCTACATAATTAGGACATGTGGACTTATTAAAATGATAAAAAAAGCGTGTCAAATATTGACGTGCCTGTAATTTGTATTATGTGATGTTTAGTTAACTGAGGGCCAAAAAGCAATCACTTCTTTATAAAAAAAATTGCCTTCAGCAGTTAATACCTAAAATGATATTTTATTGAAAAAAAAATCATAAACAAATTTAAAATGTGCAAACTCGTTTTACCTTTGAACTTTGAACTGTACGTCAATTTCGAAGACTTGTTTCTTTTTCAAAATGGACTGTTTCTCTTTCACTGGCATCACTTAGCAATTAGTACCCTTGTTTCTGTCTCTTTATCATGGTCACTTTCTTGGCACCACTACGATACGTACAGCTGTTGCAGCATCTGCTTTCAGAAACCTGTGAGGGGCGATTGAGTTGGGTGATGGACTGTTTTCTGTCCATACTCTTTGGAAGGGAGGCCCGCACAGTCCCGCACGCGATCTGACCTGTATTTAAAATCAGCTCAGGCCATTTTTTTTTTCATAACATAAATTGTTTTGAGCTGTGCACTATGTGTGTCTTCAAACGTCTTGTCGAGTTTTTTAACGAGTGAACTTTGTACGTTGCGAAAAGTGGTTTAAAAGTCGCTTCTCTTTAGCGTTTGCTTTTGCACGTACCGTACCTGTGAGAGCTTTTAGCTGACGTTTTTGTCCAACGGACAGAATCGTTCCAAACGTATTTGAGAGATGTTGAAAGAAATTACTTGTTCTCAGAGGGCTTTTGGCGTGGGTTCTGTTTTTTAGTTCCGGAACTTTCAGAGGTCTTAAAGAATGCATAATGTTTGTCTGGGGATTCATCGTGATTCTTACTATTCTTCGTCATGATGTTGCGTTGTTAACGGGTCTTTATATTCTGACATGTTTGGTGGGAAGTGAGGGGACAGACATCTCATCTTATGTACTCTTTCAGGAGGCTGACAATATTCCACTACGGAAAATGAACCGAGCAACAAATCACTTGCTCCTGGCAAGGAGTAATAATTGTTGTCCTTTAAGTATTAGATAAGATTCAAGGGAAAAAATCTCTCCCCAGAAGCCTTAGTAGAATAATAAAGTTAGCCTGCTTGTACAAATTTCTAATGAGTTTTAAGAAATGACCTCAAAAATGGCTTATGCAACACATTGAAAACAACTTTTATCTGCTACATAATTAGGACATGTGGACTTATTAAAATGATTAAAAAAAGCGTGTCAAATATTGACGTACCTGTAATTTGTATTATGTGATGTTTAGTTAACTGAGGGCCAAAAAGCAATCACTTCTTTATAAAAAAAATTGCCTTCAGCAGTTAATACCTAAAATGATATTTTATTGAAAAAAAAAATCATAAACGAATTTAAAAAGTGCAAACTCGTTTTACCTTTGAACTTTGAACTGTACGTCAATTTCGAAGACTTGTTTCTTTTTCAAAATGGACTGTTTCTCTTTCACTGGCATCACTTAGCAATTAGTACCCTTGTTTCTGTCTCTTTATCATGGTCACTTTCTTGGCACCACTACGATACGTACAGCTGTTGCTGCATCTGCTTGCAGACACCTGTGAGGGACGATTGAGTTGGGTGCTGGACTGTTTTACGTCCATACCCTTTGGAAGGGAGGCCCGCGCAGTCCTGCGTGCGATCTGACCTGTATTTACAGTCAGCTCAGGCAATTTTATTTTTCATAACAGAGACTGTTTTGAGCTGTGCACTATGTGTGTCTTCAAATTTCTTGTCCGGTTTTGTAACCAGTGAGCTTTATACTTTGCAAAAAGTGGTTTAAAAGTCGCTTCCCTTTAGCTTTCGCTTTTGCACGCACTGTACCTGTGTGAGCTTTCAGTTAAACAGTATGAATCAGATTCAGACAAGCTTAATACATGAAATGACCGGCGATAGGTATCTGCCGCGCTTACTATGCGTATGGCTCCAAGTACTTTCATGGGAAACAAATAAAAGTCATAGTTCAGGAATCTGGTCTGAAAAAGGAAAAAGGAAACTGAGAAAGCACCTCAAAGGTGACCGCACTACCCTTAAAAATTTTAAGCCATTTAATGTAATCCTCATGTTTACCATTAAAAGTTTCCTCGTGATTGGTTCCGGTCTTGAGGCGTTTTAGAGCTGTATGTGTAAAGAGAAAAGAGACTGTTATTCTAGTTTAGGATGTGAAAGACTCATCATCGCTCAATTTCTCGAACATGTCTTTTAAGAATTGGAATAATTTATTTACCTTCACTGGCCTCCCCTATAGTTGTTTTTAACACCTCGTCACTAAACGAATCCTCAAATCTGAGGAATGATGTTTCGTCGCATTGCATGCAGTCCTCTCGTGAAACCAAGATTTTTTCTGGTTGAACCAGGCGGTAGTTATAACTGGTTTTTATTGCCTTCAAGTACGCAGTTTTGTCGGTTCTCAGATCCCTGCGATGACAATAGCACAACAAGGGAAATTCAATTACGCAATATTTTCGTTTCCGGGGAGAAATGGCATAAGCCCCAGTCTTACAGTATTATCAAATTGGGGCTATACTCAAACCACGTTCTCATGGACACTGCGGGTCCACAGAAAGTGTCAGTATTAACGACGAGTGTCTGTAAACTGGGGTTTGATTTTATCTTCAAATCTATGTTCTCTATCTATTTCATTCTGCGTTAACCCCTCTATTTACCAGTATGCTCAGTAATTTATGTTTGCCGGCTTTGGATTTTAAATAACCTTGAAAATGATGAGATGAAAGTATAAGTTTACGAAGGCTGAGCTAGGAACTGTCGAAAAGGTTTAGTGATCACTCTAAAGCCTCTACGCTTCTGAATAGTACCACAGGAAAATTACAGTTACATTCCATGTTCGATTACGAGCTTGTGGGAGCTGCTACGTGTTACGTGGTGATTGATTGGATTGATTAGATCTTCGATGAAGTGCCAGAGGATAGATGACCTGAGCACTTTTTTCTCAGTCCCTTCACATTGCGGCTCTTTCCACCAGCAACAGGGATCTCACTTTCACCAAGACAAAGAAGAAAGGGGAAAAAATGCACTACCACCTTTACCAATCAGCGCGCAAGATCCAGCCATTTCAATAAATCGTGCATTGGCACGTATAAGCGATTCAATTATACCCCATATGCATGCTTTTACCTGTAGATGTAGGCACTTGTGTCTAAGTGCCTCTCCATAACCTCCTTGATATACAGGGCCCAAGTGCCCCCCTTCTCGCTCCACCCTGCGAGGCGACACAGGGTGGAGATGGCCTCTCTCGGAAAAACGCCATTATTTTCAACCATCTGGTTGATTATAAAGGTAGTGGCAAATCGCTAAAAAGAATGAAGGAAGATCATAACCAGTTTTTGAGAGGCAAGATTCCTTTTCCAGATAGTCGTCGGCGAGCACGTCTTTCGTCCATCCATCAAAACATACCAGAGGCTCCTCTTCCACTAAAACTATTTTCCCTCAAATTGGTTCCGCATGCAGTTATGACTCCACGTTTTAGTAAAGAAAATGAACTTACCGACCTGTTACAGTGGTGGGTAATCCGCCTCGGGTCAAACCCGGCTTTCACTACCACCCTCTTGAAGAGGCTGGTTAAATCATTCAGTGGTTTGTTGTTCTAAAATAAGAAAAAACACCGGAATAAGATTGCATTGTCTTAAGCGTTAGCGATAAATGGAAATTAAAGTGAACAGCATCTGAGAATGAAAACTTGCAAGAATTTGTTATCATAAAATGTGAAGTTTTCGTTTTTTTAGAAAACTTAGACGATAAACCAAAGTCTATAAATGACATCCATATGACATTATTGATAGGGATATAAATACTCTCATGTCACCCGAATTCATGTTTACAGTAGAAGTGGCAAAAGAATTATTGATAATTATGCACTCAGACAAACAACTAAATCAAACCTCGTGCCTTGTAATGAATGGATGGAGCAGTAACTGAACCGAATTATCATTACATCCTGTTTGGATGCATATTCTTTTCATGCCTTTGACTTGTAAGTCATTGGCAGTTGAAGCATGTTTGTGATGTCCTTACAACTCGGAACAATTTTCTACCCAGTTTTTCCACTGTTGTGTGTCCTGCATAGCAACCAAGCGGAACCTTAAAAAGGGAAACTCTATGGGAAAGAATGTGTGATTTAAGACTCACGTTTATCTTGCCACTAGAGTTGTCTACGTGGCATAACAGTGGCCAAGATCTCGCCTCCTCCCTCAAAGAGAAATCGCCTTTATTATACGCCTCTATCGGTGAGAGGGCAAATGCTCCTCTCACCGACAAGAACAGGAAAGCCAAAACTGCGGCGTCATACGGCGAACCATCTGACAGTGGCGAGAAATGAAATGGACGCCTGAAAATAGTACTAGTGTAAGGCAGTCATAAAGTCCACAATATAGGCCTATACATCTAAACTGGTTATCTTCTCAAGTCGTTATTACGGGATGCCAAATATGACGGAAACCCCGATGTCGGTGGACCTGTACGATCTGTTTTCTTTGTAAATCCAGCGTAACCCTAGGTTCGTACTTCTGTCATGCCATTAAATTACCAAATACGCGGTTTACGGATATGTTACCCTAGTTTATAGCATCTTTCAGTCTACAGAAAAAGGCGAGGGAAAATGGGAATACAGTTGTGAAGTTTTTCCCAATTTCAGCTGCGAGGGACGATACCACGGATCGAACTCTATTTTCATAACACATATCTTCGAATTTCGATTTGATTCAAGATTTTCTTATTCCATAGAAAAGGGGTGTCGTGCCTCCCCATCACTGTTATAACTGAGTTCCCGCCTCAATAGAGGGTCTCCCCTGGGGGGACATTCTTTCAGTGCAGGTGATAACAACAACAAGGAATGAATAAAACCATCATTATTTAGCTGTTCCCCGGCAGCTGGTAGGGAGGAACCTTCAGCTAAATGTATTTCAATGTAACAGTTGTCAAGGATAAGACGCGGCCAACGATGGATTTACCTGTAACACCGGTTCCCCTGGTCTTGCTTCTCTTTCGTAAATTCTATTGTGAGGGTTAGGCGATTGTTCTCGTCTTTCCTGTCAAGGAAGAATATAGCACTAAAATCAAGAGGGCTTTTTTGAAAACCAATTAGTATAAAGTATCACCAAAAAGTTCATCGCAGCAACAACGGGTTGATGAAGAAGAAAAAGGCGGAAGGTTCCACATAACCACTCCCTCATTAATCGCAATTTCCAACAGTGGTTTGGCACTAATTAAACGTAATTCTATGAAATACGCTTTTATATCTAACGTTGGGACGTAGTTAAATTTGTATTAATTCATTAAAAACATTCGATACAACTTGTATGAGGTCAAATACTCACTGAAATTTTAATTGATCCAATGCTACTTGATTGGTGGCCATGTTCATCATTTCGGCTGCGTCGCTTCGATGACCCTTTCCAGTAATGAATGGATGGAGCAGTAACTGAACCGAATTATCATTACATCCTGTTTGGATGCATATTCTTTTCATGCCTTTGACTTGTAAGTCATTGGCAGTTGAAGCATGTTTGTGATGTCCTTACAACTCGGAACAATTTTCTACCCAGTTTTTCCACTGTTGTGTGTCCTGCATAGCAACCAAGCGGAACCTTAAAAAGGGAAACTCTATGGGAAAGAATGTGTGATTTAAGACTCACGTTTATCTTGCCACTAGAGTTGTCTACGTGGCATAACAGTGGCCAAGATCTCGCCTCCTCCCTCAAAGAGAAATCGCCTTTATTATACGCCTCTATCGGTGAGAGGGCAAATGCTCCTCTCACCGACAAGAACAGGAAAGCCAAAACTGCAGCGTCATACGGCGAACCATCTGACAGTGGCGAGAAATGAAATGGACGCCTGAAAATAGTACTAGTGTAAGGCAGTCATAAAGTCCACAATATAGGCCTATACATCTAAACTGGTTATCTTCTCAAGTCGTTATTACGGGATGCCAAATATGACGGAAACCCCGATGTCGGTGGACCTGTACGATCTGTTTTCTTTGTAAATCCAGCGTAACCCTAGGTTCGTACTTCTGTCATGCCATTAAATTACCAAATACGCGGTTTACGGAAATGTTACCCTAGTTTATAGCATCTTTCAGTCTACAGAAAAAGGCGAGGGAAAATGGGAATACAGTTGTGAAGTTTTTCCCAATTTCAGCTGCGAGGGACGATACCACGGATCGAACTCTATTTTCATAACACATATCTTCGAATTTCGATTTGATTCAAGATTTTCTTATTCCATAGAAAAGGGGTGTCGTGCCTCCCCATCACTGTTATAACTGAGTTCCCGCCTCAATAGAGGGTCTCCCCTGGGGGGACATTCTTTCAGTGCAGGTGATAACAACAACAAGGAATGAATAAAACCATCATTATTTAGCTGTTCCCCGGCAGCTGGTAGGGAGGAACCTTCAGCTAAATGTATTTCAATGTAACAGTTGTCAAGGATAAGACGCGGCCAACGATGGATTTACCTGTAACACCGGTTCCCCTGGTCTTGTTTCTCTTTCGTAAATTCTATTGTGAGGGTTAGGCGATTGTTCTCGTCTTTCCTGTCAAGGAAGAATATAGCACTAAAATCAAGAGGGCTTTTTTGAAAACCAATTAGTATAAAGTATCACCAAAAAGTTCATCGCAGCAACAACGGGTTGATGAAGAAGAAAAAGGCGGAAGGTTCCACATAACCACTCCCTCATTAATCGCAATTTCCAACAGTGGTTTGGCACTAATTAAACGTAATTCTATGAAATACGCTTTTATATCTAACGTTGGGACGTAGTTAAATTTGTATTAATTCATTAAAAACATTCGATACAACTTGTATGAGGTCAAATACTCACTGAAATTTTAATTGATCCAATGCTACTTGATTGGTGGCATGTTCATCATTTCGGCTGCGTCGCTTCGATGACCCTTTCCAGTAATGAATGGATGGAGCAGTAACTGAACCGAATTATCATTACATCCTGTTTGGATGCATATTCTTTTCATGCCTTTGACTTGTAAGTCATTGGCAGTTGAAGCATGTTTGTGATGTCCTTACAACTCGGAACAATTTTCTACCCAGTTTTTCCACTGTTGTGTGTCCTGCATAGCAACCAAGCGGAACCTTAAAAAGGGAAACTCTATGGGAAAGAATGTGTGATTTAAGACTCACGTTTATCTTGCCACTAGAGTTGTCTACGTGGCATAACAGTGGCCAAGATCTCGCCTCCTCCCTCAAAGAGAAATCGCCTTTATTATACGCCTCTATCGGTGAGAGGGCAAATGCTCCTCTCACCGACAAGAACAGGAAAGCCAAAACTGCAGCGTCATACGGCGAACCATCTGACAGTGGCGAGAAATGAAATGGACGCCTGAAAATAGTACTAGTGTAAGGCAGTCACAAAGTCCACAATATAGGCCTATACATCTAAACTGGTTATCTTCTCAAGTCGTTATTACGGGATGCCAAATATGACGGAAACCCCGATGTCGGTGGACCTGTACGATCTGTTTTCTTTGTAAATCCAGCGTAACCCTAGGTTCGTACTTCTGTCATGCCATTAAATTACCAAATACGCGGTTTACGGATATGTTACCCTAGTTTATAGCATCTTTCAGTCTACAGAAAAAGGCGAGGGAAAATGGGAATACAGTTGTGAAGTTTTTCCCAATTTCAGCTGCGAGGGACGATACCACGGATCGAACTCTATTTTCATAACACATATCTTCGAATTTCGATTTGATTCAAGATTTTCTTATTCCATAGAAAAGGGGGTGTCGTGCCTCCCCATCACTGTTATAACTGAGTTCCCGCCTCAATAGAGGGTCTCCCCTGGGGGGACATTCTTTCAGTGCAGGTGATAACAACAACAAGGAATGAATAAAACCATCATTATTTAGCTGTTCCCCGGCAGCTGGTAGGGAGGAACCTTCAGCTAAATGTATTTCAATGTAACAGTTGTCAAGGATAAGACGCGGCCAACGATGGATTTACCTGTAACACCGGTTCCCCTGGTCTTGTTTCTCTTTCGTAAATTCTATTGTGAGGGTTAGGCGATTGTTCTCGTCTTTCCTGTCAAGGAAGAATATAGCACTAAAATCAAGAGGGCTTTTTGAAAACCAATTAGTATAAAGTATCACCAAAAGTTCATCGCAGCAACAACGGGTTGATGAAGAAGAAAAAAGGCGGAAGGTTCCACATAACCACTCCCTCATTAATCGCAATTTCCAACAGTGGTTTGGCACTAATTAAACGTAATTCTATGAAATACGCTTTTATATCTAACGTTGGGACGTAGTTAAATTTGTATTAATTCATTAAAAACATTCGATACAACTTGTATGAGGTCAAATACTCACTGAAATTTTAATTGATCCAATGCTACTTGATTGGTGGCCATGTTCATCATTTCGGCTGCGTCGCTTCGATGACCCTTTCCAGTAATGAATGGATGGAGCAGTAACTGAACCGAATTATCATTACATCCTGTTTGGATGCATATTCTTTTCATGCCTTTGACTTGTAAGTCATTGGCAGTTGAAGCATGTTTGTGATGTCCTTACAACTCGGAACAATTTTCTACCCAGTTTTTCCACTGTTGTGTGTCCTGCATAGCAACCAAGCGGAACCTTAAAAAGGGAAACTGTATGGGAAAGAATGTGTGATTTAAGACTCACGTTTATCTTGCCACTAGAGTTGTCTACGTGGCATAACAGTGGCCAAGATCTCGCCTCCTCCCTCAAAGAGAAATCGCCTTTATTATACGCCTCTATCGGTGAGAGGGCAAATGCTCCTCTCACCGACAAGAACAGGAAAGCCAAAACTGCGGCGTCATACGGCGAACCATCTGACAGTGGCGAGAAATGAAATGGACGCCTGAAAATAGTACTAGTGTAAGGCAGTCATAAAGTCCACAATATAGGCCTATACATCTAAACTGGTTATCTTCTCAAGTCGTTATTACGGGATGCCAAATATGACGGAAACCCCGATGTCGGTGGACCTGTACGATCTGTTTTCTTTGTAAATCCAGCGTAACCCTAGGTTCGTACTTCTGTCATGCCATTAAATTACCAAATACGCGGTTTACGGATATGTTACCCTAGTTTATAGCATCTTTCAGTCTACAGAAAAAGGCGAGGGAAAATGGGAATACAGTTGTGAAGTTTTTCCCAATTTCAGCTGCGAGGGACGATACCACGGATCGAACTCTATTTTCATAACACATATCTTCGAATTTCGATTTGATTCAAGATTTTCTTATTCCATAGAAAAGGGGTGTCGTGCCTCCCCATCACTGTTATAACTGAGTTCCCGCCTCAATAGAGGGTCTCCCCTGGGGACATTCTTTCAGTGCAGGTGATAACAACAACAAGGAATGAATAAAACCATCATTATTTAGCTGTTCCCCGGCAGCTGGTAGGGAGGAACCTTCAGCTAAATGTATTTCAATGTAACAGTTGTCAAGGATAAGACGCGGCCAACGATGGATTTACCTGTAACACCGGTTCCCCTGGTCTTGCTTCTCTTTCGTAAATTCTATTGTGAGGGTTAGGCGATTGTTCTCGTCTTTCCTGTCAAGGAAGAATATAGCACTAAAATCAAGAGGGCTTTTTTGAAAACCAATTAGTATAAAGTATCACCAAAAAGTTCATCGCAGCAACAACGGGTTGATGAAGAAGAAAAAGGCGGAAGGTTCCACATAACCACTCCCTCATTAATCGCAATTTCCAACAGTGGTTTGGCACTAATTAAACGTAATTCTATGAAATACGCTTTTATATCTAACGTTGGGACGTAGTTAAATTTGTATTAATTCATTAAAAACATTCGATACAACTTGTATGAGGTCAAATACTCACTGAAATTTTAATTGATCCAATGCTACTTGATTGGTGGCCATGTTCATCATTTCGGCTGCGTCGCTTCGATGACCCTTTCCAGTCAGGGAACCCTGTCGGGCCCCTGAATGGAAGGAGGCGCTCAACATGAACGCGGCTGAAATGAACAAATTTAAATTTCCCTTTTTTGATAGGTCAGGAAGGCATTACCCTGGGCCGGGTCGTTCGAAGCTGGGTTAAGATAACCCAGGGTTAGTGCGGACCTTGAACTCAGATATTAGAGCTTAAAATTCAAATTCAGTTTAATTCTTTTTGCCTACAATTCGATGATTGGATACTCTAAAAAGAATACAGAAAATTATCCGAGAGAGTGCTTTTGATAACAGGAAAAAGAAAACTGGGTTAACATTTAACCCCGGGTTAGTGCTAACCGGAGTTCGAACAACTGGGCCCAGGGTTCCAGAGGGGCTTTTTTTCCTGTTGTTTGCTGCGAAAATGGATCAGCGATGTCGCGATCGTGACGAGCTGTTTTTTTCCCCGCTTGTCACGATCGAGGCTTCGCCACTCAATTTTCCCCGCAAACAACAGGGAAAAAAGAGCCTCTGGCACCCAGGGTATGAAGGCATGTGGAAGATGCAATGGTCAACGCTACAAGTGAAGATGCAAAACCCATAAGCCTTTGTTCGATAGCCAGAGGTTAGGTGTATCTGCGGCTCAAGCTAAAATCCATCCGATAAGATAAATAAACCTTTCCTTTGTATTGGTCAAAGTGGAAAATAACAGAGGCCTATGCTACTTGGCAAGAGCGAATAATAGGGTTACAACTCCACCCCAAGAATTCACATGAATTGACTTTCAGGCAAGTATTCGTCACCTGCACTCATGCTGGTATTGTCTCGGCCTTTTGAAGTTTTTGCCCTCATTTCATGAAGGAGATTCACTTGTTTTGCCTGACACATCACCCACTGTTCATAACATTGTTGCGAAGGTGGGGGTTATTTTGATTGGAGTCCTAAATGTTCATCACAAAGGTAATGACTCAACCCCCTAAAAAGGTGTAGGTCTTGAAACTCACCACCGTCCCTTGAAATAAAATGGTAATTCAATAAAGTATTTGATCGCGAAGGCGATTTAAAAGTAACTACGCTCTTGAAAACTTTGGGGGTAGATGAAAGACTTTCCAAATAGGGAATAAATTAACACACACTATATAAAAATGCTTGGGAATTCTGATTTGGTCATTGGTTTTTATTGTCAAGTTAGGGCTCCTAGAAGAGCCTTTTAGCTGGTCGTTCTGATCAAAGTCTTGCGTCCTCAGTCCCAGTCTCTTGAACGCCCTTCCCACAGTCTTTGGTGCGAATCATCGTCATGCGATTGTAGTACTATCGCAATTCTTATCAACCTGAAGCTACTCAAGTGCAACAAAATAACGTCAATTAGACAACAATGCAGACCACACCAAGGGAGGAAGCCCAATATCTACAACCCTCATGGTTTTCCTCTTGGGCTTCAGGACGACATTGCAACTGTAAATTTAATTCACAAATGTAAGCTTCATCTATTTCATGAGAGAAATAATATTAATTTACCCTGCATTCATGAAATAATTCGGTATACTCACTTTGTAGGGATTGTGGGCTCTCAATTCCACAAACATCTATAAGATGTTCCACATCTTGTGGAAACAGGGGCTCGCGAGGAAATAGATTTTTTTTCCTATTTTTTGTTTCAGGAATTTATCTAATGTCCCCGTGAGCCCCGGGTACGTCCTACGTGGACTCGGCAGTCCCATACACATGTGCTGAAATGTAACCGGGATGCATAGTTAAACATCAGCTAAGTAGTTATATTATATGCCGGCGGCAAAATGGCAGTCAAAGAGAGCCTTGACGCACATACTATCGTCCTGGGTAATGTTATTCAGTCAGAGCCTTGCAGCCACCAATACAAACTCAACTACAACCGGTTCAGGATTCGTAATTACACCGGGAGAACGCGAACGTTAATTTTCGTTCGGAATCTTCCTCTTCGATATGATTAAAATAATCCACTTATCTACATTATTCTTCATTATATATGAAAATAACGTAATTGTAAATGCCTGAAGAATTCGCAAGCAGGACTAATGAACAGGTATCATGAAAAGAATCCTTTGACATTACGGTTTAGACAGATAAAAGAGTAAATTTCACCAACGTTTTACTGATTACTTCGATGAGAGAACCTGTATTTAGTACATCTATAATCGTTCTACTTGTAGCCCACACGAAGTTAATCTTTTGAAAGATATTAAACGGAAAACCGTATTCCCTTATCGGTCAGAGTTGCATGGGCTTTTCAACTATAGAAGATGGGAATTTGTCACGTGGATTATACTAACCCAGCAACACAGGCCGTTGTAGAAGTCGGTCATTATTGTGTGATATCCGTATCCTAGGTCCGCAAGATCCGAGCAGAACGCCTTTATTTTAAGCTCAGGACACGGCAAAAGATTTCCACCATATAGGGTATCGTGCCGCGTTTGATACGTATTCTTAGCTGTGTTGACTGATTTGATCTGTTGTAAGACATATTTAGAAATTGTTAATATTAATTTTGTTCAAGAAAGACAAGTTTCACTTAAAATTAATCCTCAATCAATATTCTTCATTGAGCAAAAGGATGCAGAGTGTTATTGGCTGGGTTTCAGATTCTTACCGTAGATGCACTTCTTGTGTCGAAGTACATTCTGGCCGCTTGGCTGAGTTTGCTTGCCCCAGAAACAGAATTTTTCTGAAGAAATTCCTTCATTTTTGAAGCAGCATTGCACTCTGCAGTTAAGAGTAAAAATCAAAGCATACTTAAATAGGTAAGTTTGTGTATTTGTTTAAAGTCGTCTTTCGCAATACCATGGGGATACTAATTGTATCAGACTAACTCGCTGATTCGTTGCTGATTGCAGGAGCCCATCAAATGGAGCCTCTATCTCCATTAACTTCTTGAGTCAACCCTTTCCCGAGTAGATTTTTAAATAGATCGGCTTGTTTCTGATTGATTTTACGCGAACAAGGCAACAAATGTGAAAGTGAATTTACTGTAATAAATACACGGGTACAATTCGAAGAATGATTAGTCTGCTACACGGAGGAGCGTTGCGTGACGACATTAAAAGCGGCTGTATAGCAGACTAGGGAATGATTCGATACGTTTACCTAGATATGAACTCAGTATTCTACAGCTGATTCTATGTATAAAAATATCACCTGGTACGGAGGGATTTACTGTTGTCGCCGTGGCGGGTAAACATGATGGCGTGGACAAGGCTACAAATCAAAATGAAAATGATATAATCTAATACATGAAAAGACAATTGAAAAATTTTTTTCAATATTTTTACTTAAATAAGATGGAGCTCAGTCAGCCTTTTAAGAAAAGGATACTTACTTGGAATGTGGAATTGGGCTTCCAGAGCCGCTGGGTTTTGCATCGCTGGTAGTGGCGCGGACAAAGCTACAAATCAAAGAGAAATTGATATAATCTAATACATGAAAAGACAATTGAAAAATTTTTTCAATATCTTTACTTAAATAAGATGGAGCTCAGTCAGCCTTTTAAGAAAAGATACTTACTTGGAATGTGGAATTGGGCTTCCAGAGCCGCTGGGTTTTGCATCGCTGGTAGTGGCGCGGACAAGGCTACAAATCAAAAAGAAAATGATATAATCTAATACATGAAAAGACAATTGAAAAATTTTTTCAATATTTTTACTTAAATAAGATGGAGCTCAGTCAGCCTTTTAAGAAAAGATACTTACTTGGAATGTGGAATTGGGCTTCCAGAGCCGCTGGGTTTTGCATCGCTGGTAGTGGCGCGGACAAGGCTACAAATCAAAAAGAAAATGATATAATCTAATACATGAAAAGACAATTGAAAAATTTTTTTCAATATTTTTACTTAAATAAGATGGAGCTCAGTCAGCCTTTTAAGAAAAGATACTTACTTGGAATGTGGAATTGGGCTTCCAGAGCCGCTGGGTTTTGCATCGCTGGTAGTGGCGCGGACAAGGCTACAAATCAAAAAGAAATTGATATAATCTAATACACGAAAAGACAATTGAAAAAGTTTTTCAATATTTTTACTTAAATAAGATGGAGCTCAGTCAGCCTTTTAAGAAAAGATACTTACTTGGAATGTGGAATTGGGCTTCCAGAGCCGCTGGGTTTTGCATCGCTGGTAGTGGTGCGGACAAGGCTACAAATAAAAAAGAAATTGATATAATCTAATACATGAAAAGACAATTGAAAAATTTTTTTCAATAATTTAACTTAAATAAGATGGAGCTCAGTCAGCCTTTTAAGAAAAGATACTTACTTGGAATGTGGAATTGGGCTTCCAGAGCCGCTGGGTTTTGCATCGCTGGTAGTGGCGCGGACAAGGCTGCAAATCAAAAAGAAATTGATATAATCTAATACATGAAAAGACAACTGAAAAATTTTTTCAATATTTTTACTTAAATAAGATGGAGCTCAGTCAGCCTTTTAAGAAAAGATACTTACTTGGAATCTGGAATTTGGCTTGCAGAGCCGCTGGGTTTTGCATCGCTGGTAGTGGCGCGGACAAGGCTACAAATCAAAAAGAAAATGATATAATCTAATACATGAAAAGACAATTGAAGTGTGGGTAGCCCTCAAGAAAGATGGAACTGTCTTGTGTGGTTGGTGCACATGCATTGCTGGCACGAGTGCAACATGCAGCCACATAATTGCATCGCTTTACAAGATGGAATATGCATTCACCCTTGGTCATACAGATCCATCATGTACATCAGTCCCTTGCGGATGGAATGTATCAACCAGGAGAGATGTGCAGCCAGGAAAGATAATGGACATGTGAATCAGAAAAGAAAAGGGAACAACTGGAAATGAAGAAATGAAGGAATTATTATGGATGAATGGAGACAATTTGATCCAAGGAAAGAGTGGGAAAGGAATGTGACTGATGAGCAGAAAAAGAGATTCTTGGATGTATACAAACAGATCAGGCCCAATGCACAAATTTTCAAAAGTGTAGAGTCAGAAAATCACAATCAAATGGACAGACCTTTAGAACTGACTAAATTTGTAAAGAATTTTACTGCATCATTAGATGGTAGTGAGAGTGAACAGGACATTGTAAATAAATTTTTGGAATCCATCCCCTTAAATGCAACGGAGGTTTCCTAAATTGAGCGAGAAACCAAGGCCCAGAGTGACTCATTTTCTTGGATCAGGCACAGAAAAGGATGGATAACTGCATCGAACTTTAAAGATGTATGCACAAAAGTTGACTCGCTTGCAAAAGCTCAAGGTTCTGTCAAACCACCAACAACTCCGCTTGTCTCAAAACTAGTTCTTGGATGGCAGAACACTGACCACATCCCATCAGTCAGGTGGGGCAAAGAAAAAGAAAACGAGGCATATAATGAATTTTATGCGAGGACTCTTTCACAGCACCAAAACTGCAAGTTAACAAAGAGTGGACTTTGTGTTTTTAAAGATCTAGACAAACCCCACATTGGGGCCAGTCCTGATGGGATTATGGCATGTTCATTCTGTGGTACAACTGCATTGGAAATTAAGTGCCCATATTCCATTTGGGACTTGTGTGTCAGTGAGGCCTAGGAACAAACAGATTTCCTGGAACAGAGGGATGGAGTGATTCAGCTGAAAAGAAGTCACAAGTATTTCTTTCAAGTGACTGGTGTTATGGCTGCAAAATCATCATCAAAGTTGTACTTTGTTGTGTGCACAACAAAGGAACTACATGTAGAACTGATGCATTTTGATGATTCATTTTGGGACAACATCATTCCAAAGCTTGATGTAGTCTTACATGGCCAAGGTCCTGTTAGGCTTGAGGAATATATATTTTTGCCCTACATGTGAGAAAGTCATTTTAGAGGGAGAGGAGCTCCCAGAGAATTCCCCTGACAATAGCATATGCTGTGACCATTGTGGAGCATGGTTTCATTTTGTACGTGCACAGACAAACACTGACCCTAAAATTGATTTTATCTTAATTCATACCATGTTGTTAAAGTTGTATGGCTTTGTCACTGAGTTTTAACTAAAAACACCACTAGGGTATTAAACACGACGAACTAATTCTCAGTGTCTTTTACAGTACATGTATCGCAGCCCACTCACACACACAGTGGGTCTTGTAAGCATGTAAGTGCACAAACAACTTGCACTAAGGCATCACAAAATGGGCGACAGTTGATTGGGAGTTCATTCTTGAGGCTATTGAACCTTTTCAATCGCCCAATTGCTTGCTCAACATATATCCTAGCATTACCTAGCTATCCAATATGTTTCCTTTACTTCTCTTGGGACCATTTGTAAACCAGCTTTGGTACTGGGTGCAATGCAAAGGTAAGCATTGCTCATCAACAGTTCATCTTTTATCTTGAAACCCCTATCAGCCATGACCTGGTCATACGGTTCCACAAAATTTAAGGAACCACAGTCTTTAACAATAAATTTATCAGTTGCCCTTCCTCCATTGCATGGTGGCACATAGCACGGTGCTCCGTTTGGAGTGACTGCAATCAGAAACTTCATTGTTGAATGACGTTTATAATCAGACCAGAGTGTAGCTTGGATGTCAAGAGCACTTGGGGTTTCTGTAAAAACTTCAGTGCGATCAATAATGCACCGAACTTTGGGATAGATTTTTCGAAAGGCCTCTGGAAGCTCCAACTGAATTTTTCCCCTGCTTGGCCACATAATCATCCAGTTTAGCTCTGGTGACAAAAACCTACCCAAGTAGAAAAAAATTGAGTGACTAATGAATGAGAAACCTTGAATCTAAAGGCCAAATCTTCAACGAAAAGTCTAAGTCTCAGCCTCATTAAAGTCAAAAGAAGTTCCTCTTCTAAATGAAGCTTCCTCTTTTGTCCTCTCTTTACAGAGGGTGTCTCTGCACCAGCTCTCTTTAATTCATCAAACATAGCTGCAAGAGACCTGGCAGCATTGTTACTTTGCCTCTCTTTTCGGACCTGAGCCTCACCTTTCCAGTAATTCATATTTTTTACCTTTGGTCTAAGATAATCATAGAGCAACTCAAAAGTTTTCGAGTCTGGAAGTCCTGTATAAAAACTGACCATTCCCTCGGTCGCAACAATTTCAAATGTAAAATCTGCATGTTCAGTTTCAGGCTCTGATTCAGAACCTTCAGATAAGTAATGGAAATCTAGATCAGAAAGCTCCTCTTCTGATTGAAGCTGGAGTTGTCTTCTCAGTTGGTTTTTTCCTTTTCTTTGATCTGCTTCCATGTTCATTTGACAGTTATGTCATAAATTCTGTTGTATGACGATTTTCAGGAGTAGGCTTACCATCTTTAAAGTGATTTGCACAGATAAATGTTCCAGGTTTGGGATCAAAAAAGTCTAGTCGACCTTTCTGAACATTCCTTATCCATATAACTCGTTTTGAAGCAGATGTGGTACAATTGAAAAACTCCATAGTTGTCACATGTGAGTGATACTTATAGTTATCGGGATACCGGTCATCATTATTACATCCTCCAACACAGCAATGGGCTTTCTTGGGTTTCTTTCCTTTTGGCATACTATTGGACGAAAGAAAGGCTGTATTAGGAAACATTAAGGGTAGAATAACAGCAGGGAACATCACAAGAGATCACTTCAAAAGCGACAAAACGAAAAATTCCTATTCAGTTTTACACAGAATTCTATCGATTTGAGAAACAACTTTTTTGCGTTATTTGGTTTGTATAAACTTTACTGAAAAATAATCAAAACATGGCAAGATGATCGGACCCTTTTTTAGGCCAATTTAATAATCATCACCCACATTATGCCAAGTTTGTTTTGTTTTGCACGCATCGCACGATCCACGTGCTTCTGTGCTATTTGTGCCAAAACGGACTTATTTGATGAGCGATTGGGATAGTTTTTACCACAGAGCTAGAAAATCTACTTACCTTCAATATCCCGAAAAGGAAAAATCTCTTAGTGCGACGAAGTACGAAAAAAACGCTGAGAATTGCTGGTGAGTCTGGCGCGTGACAAAAATTTTAAGAGATTTGTATGGTTATTCTTTGAAGCTTGGTAACCGCACCAAAATCTCCTTGCCTACTCGTCAAAATGGCGTCGAAAACCATGACAAAGTCTATTAAAGAGATAATCAAGATCAGATACACTATAACCATTTCTTTTACACTATGCATACCCTTTGCTGACGATCTTTAAAAAAGTCAATAACCCAATTAACAATATAAGGATTAATGTAATGCAGTTTCTTAAGTTTATCAGTTACTACTCGATTGGAAACTGAGTCAAAGGGTTTCGAGAAGTCATAAGACAGAACTCTAACAAAGTTAGAATGGCCATCAAACCATCTCATCCAAAAGTGCTGATTATATAATAGGACAGTCTCAGTTCCACAGTCCTTCTTATAGGCAAACTGATCTGAATGAATAAAGCAGGAAACTGGTTTCCTCAATTCAGAAATATTGGTCTCCTTAGGAATAGGTCGCACATTTGCACTCGTCCAAATCTTAGGGACTTGCTGGGAGACTAAGGAAACATTCAAAACGTGTGTTATCACGGGTGTTAGTTCCAGGGCATACTCCTTCCAAAACCCAAAAGGCAGGTCATCTAATGCAGTTATGCTCCAGCGTGACGAACCCTTGAGAACGTGTGCGTGGGGGGCTATTTGGACGGTAGTCTAAACGGAGGACAAAACGCCGACTTCAGAAACATCCGGATACGAGTGGTTGGGGCCTGAATCGGAAAGCCGGGAGAGAAGCTATTGCTCCTTCAGTACCGAGCTTCCCCTCTTTCTCGTCCAATGGACATAACTTTCGTCGGCCTTTGTCGCCGTGTCATGCCCGCTCTCCCTCATGTGCCTCTTTAGGCCGGTACTCTTGACGGCCCTAAAGGTGCATACGGGGCACCCTAGTGGCCTTGAGTGGACCATCATGTGACGGTAAGGATGGTCCTAGGCCAAAACGGATGCCCTCATACCTCTTTAGTGCAGATCCACTTCTTTTCAACTGGTCTGTCTGCGTAGCGCCCCCATCCAGGGTGCCTGTTGTCCTGCTGATGGCGTTTCATCTCCTCTCCTCGCCGGTCGAGAACGGGCAGCCACTGAAGGGACAAATTACAGATTCTGTGAGGGACTGCCCGTAATCCACCGGGAAAAACCTCCTCAGAACTAGGTCATTGTCTACTGGACGCATATTTGTTTCCAAATATTCTTGTATGGGGAATCTTTGAATGCCTGCAATAGGTAAAAGGTTAAATATTGGTGAATTTAAGATGTCACGATATAATAATAATTTACAGTTTATTAGGCGCAAAATAGCATTCACATATATGATCCAATGCGCACTAACCAAATAAAAATAAATAAAATAAAATAAATAAGAAAATTAAATGGAAATATTATATAAAATTATACCAGTGAAATGTCGTAAAAAACTCTAAAAATTTAGTATAAATATCTCTATATATACAATTAAAAAGGCAATTATAAGATTCGATTAAAAAATGTATTGAAACTAAGTAATTGAAATCATCTTAAAAACGTTAATCGACAAGTCATTCATGAGTCGTTCGCGAAAGAACGTGAAATAACAACTCAGTATTGAAACACCCTTTTTTGGTATATCTTTGTCGTAACCGCGCATCTTCGAGGTGGACCTAAGCCAGCGAGGACGATCTTATCACTGACTTAAGAACTCATCTCTGGAATAGTTTGCCTGTATTTATCAAATTATGCCAGAGCGCGAATACTTATCTGTCGTCTTCTTCTTCGATGGTTCTCAAACTCCCTTTTAAGGAGCGAGCTTACGTTTTGGACATTCCATACAAGCCCGATACAATCAGCGCGGAAGACTCAGTCGTTTCAATAAATCATGCATCTGCCCTTCTTCGTACAAAACTGGCACGTATAAGCGCTTCGAGTATACCCCATATGCATGCGTTTACCTGTAGATATAGGCACTTGAGTCTAAGTGCCTCTCCATTACGTCTCTTATACAGAGGGCCCAGGTGCCCCCCTCCTCGCTCCACCCTGCGAGGTGACACAGAGTGGAGATTGCTTCCCGCAGGAAGACCTCATCATTCTCAATCAGTTGGTTTAAAATAAATGTAGTCGCAAATCCCTGAAAGGAATAAAGTAACAACATTACCAGTTTTTTTAGAGGCAAGTTTCCTTTTCCGGATAGTCGTCGGCGAACACGTTTTTAGTCCATCAAAACATACCAGAGGCTCCTCTTCCACTAAAACTATTTTCCCTCGAATTGGTTCCGCGTGCAGTTATGACTCCACTTTTTAGTAAAGAAAATGAACTTACCGACCTTGGTGGGTTATTCTCCTCTGGTCAAAACTTGCCATTATAACAACCCGTCTTAAAAGAGCTAGGTAAGTCCTTGAGGGGTTTGTTGTTCTAAAAGAGGAAAAAACACCGAGATAAGATTGCACTGTCTTAAGCGTTAGCGATAAATGGAAATTAAAATGAACAGCAACTGGGAATGAAAACTTGCAAGGATTTGTTACCATAAAATGTGAACGTTTTGTTGCTTAAAGTTTGATAGAAAACATAGGCGATAAATCGAAGTATACAGTGACATCCATATGGCATCCTTGATAGGGATATAAATACTCTCATGTCACCCGAATTCATGTTTACAAGCAAATAGTATTACTTACAGTGGAAGTGGTGAAAGAATTATTGATAATTATGCACTCAGGCAAACAACTAATACACTTATGCTCGTACCTTGTAATGGATAGATGGAACAGTTACTGAACATTATCATTACATCTTGTTTGGTTGCATATATTTTTTTCATTCGTAAGACATGTAAGTCACTGGCAGTTAAAGCATGTATGTTTTTGGTGTCCTTATAACTCGGAACAATTTTCTACCCAGTATTTCCATTGTGGTGTGTCCTGTCAACAGAACCGTCACCCTGTTTCTTCATCCCTTGCTTAAAGGTCTGTACCGCTTGCTCAACTAGACCATTTATACTTGGGTGGGAAGGTGCTGAGGTAATGTGTTTGACGCCATTTCTTTCCAAAAATTACATAAATTCGCTGCTCACAAAACTGGATCCATTATCGGACACTACAATCTCTGGTAAACCATGTGAAGCGAAAGAGTTCACACAGTGGATATCCATCCACTTGGAATGGGCGTCAGTGATCAGGAAGAACATCTTTCCCATGAAAGGACCCGCAAAATCTACGTGCACTCGCGACCAAGGGCGGCCCGGCCATTCCCAAGGGTGTAATGGCGAACAAGGAGGGGTCTAGTTTCTAGGAGGTGTACAATGTCCCCTGGGACGGGTGTGGACCCCGGGACATCCAAAACGGGTAGGCGATTGAGTCCATCCGCATTACCATTCTTTTCCTGGGCGATACAGCAGTTCATACTCATAAGTTAGCAAAGTCAATGTCCACCTCTGCATCCTGCTTTAGGCCATTAAAGGCGTGGCTTTTTTAAGGGTGTAGCAGCCCCAAAAGTGGTTTGTGATCTGTGTAAATCTTAAAATGGCGACCATACAGAAATAGGTGGAACTTTTCACAGCAAAAACTACAGCTGGAGCTTCTTTATCTAGGTGACCGTAGTTCGTCTCTGCCGTAGAGAGTGTACGCCAGGTGTATGCCACAGGTCTCTCTGATCCATCTTCCAAAACATGGGATAGAACTGCGCCAACACCGTAGGGTGATGCATCACAGGATACCACCAGCTCTTTCTCG